GATATGAACCAGATCTGTTCTCGCCCATAAGATATGGTTCCAACAAAATGACACTTCCTCTACCGATATTTTCGAGTTCCTGTGCTCAATGTCCGGTACAACTCATTCTATAGCAGATACACACGGATCGTCCACCTTTACTTTAAAGAAGGAAACGGGGATTCGTCACAAAACGTTGGGAAAGCCACTGATGATGCAATCGACACCAATGCAGTTGAAGACGATTGCGTTGAGGTATGTTAAAGCCAACGTAGGGCCTTCACACTCAGTCTGGTACTCCGTAAACTGTTACGGGCAGTCTGTGCAGATATAGGAGGTAGAGTGAGTGAGTGAGTATGGTTTTACGCTGCTTTTAGCAATATTCAAGCAATATCATGGCGGCGGACAACACAAATGGGCTTCACACAGTGCATCCATGTCAGGAATCGAACCCGGGTCTTCGGCGTGACGAGCAAACGCTTTAACCACTAGGCTACCCGACCGCCCCTATATGAGTTTGTGTTCCAGCGTTCGTTGCAGTGAGTGTCCTGATTCGAAGGCGAAGGCCCCGGGTGCACCGAACCTTGGCGGCGTGGTGAAACGAGGTCTCCCTAAACCTGGAAGATCTCAGATCGTGTCACCTGGCCGATATCGTGCCCAAAGTCGGGATATTGTGGGCCACGTTGAAATGCGTTGCCACTGATGCATGTGATTTAACAGCTATAGGTCTACCAACAGAGTTATTTCTCGCATTAGAACTGAGTCTTGGTATGACAAGTTTTAAAATTCATTTCTATAACTGAAAGACGTGTCAAAACGAGATTTTCGTGACAACTTGCATGACTTGCATACGAAAATGGTTCTTTAATTTCCAAAAATACGAATCATGTCAATGTCAAATGTCATCGGTATTAACACTAGCAAAGATAATAACTCCGTTTTGTGACACTTTATCAATACAAAACAGGTAGACTTTATTTGCAAGTGGCAGTGCAACATGCAAGGGCGGGCATGCAAGGATGGATCATGGGTCCAAAATATCAAATCCTCTCTCAGATGCTTGCCGAAAAAGGCGAATCTGCTTGTCGTAAGAGGCGACTAACGGGATCGGGTGGTCAAGCCCGCTGACTTGGTTGATGCATGTCATCGATCCAAATTGCGTGGATCGATGCTCATGATGTTAATCGCTGGATTGTCTGGTCCAGACTCGATTATTTACAGACCGCCGTCATATAGCTTGAATATTGCTGAGTGCGGCGTTAAACAACAAACCAACCAACCAACCTTGTGAGGAACTGTCATTTGGGGGTATTGTCTGAGTGGGAAATTGTCCATGTCCTATATACACAATGTACATATTCACTGTTATTCATTAATATAGGTTTTTTGAGTGTGTGCGCGTGTCGGGCGTGTGTGTGTCTTAAATGAGAGAGGCGTTAATTTGGGCATCTTGTATTTAAGCGTCTATGTGTTGCTATAAGTAGGCACGTTAACATCTGACTTCAACAATCAATGGCCTCTCGCACATCGGATATGAACATTCCCTAACTTACTCAAAACAGTTCGAAAACAATCCGTTTATTTCATGTCGTGTTCAAGTTACAAGGATTTGTACGAAAGCTCAACAGTGTCATCCCCCAAGCAGCGACAAAACACCCTAATGTTGGACATATTCAAAGGTCATATTCTACACATGTAAATGTAACATACTTATCGTTGACGCCGTCTTGAAACCAACGCGACCTTGGCGACATAAACATATTTGTTTGTGTCATGTGATTAGTTCTAGTGTGAAATATCAGTCAAAATATGTTAAAATAGGTTGTCTGCATCAAATGTAATTAAAATGTCTACGATGTTTTTAAGACTAGAGACATTTGCTTTAAATACAATAAAAGTTGATGAGGACTACATGTGCGCATACCTTTTGTGACACGAGGATCAGCAGAAGATGGAAACTTCAGACAGTGCCAGACTATGGGTAAAGATGACAGGGGTGTGCTGTTTTACATGTACATGTTGTGTAAAAAACACAGAGTGTTCAATAATAATATCCTCTGATGTCTGGTACTGTGAAATCGAAATGAAATAATATATTCACGAATTAATACATAGACATAATTAATAAGTTATGTATTTGTTATGGGTATACACAATTATATAGATGCATCTTATTCTTTTCATACTTTATCAATACAAAACAGGTAGACTTTATTTGCAAGTGGCAGTGCAACATGCAAGGGCGGGCATGCAAGGATGGATCATGGGTCCAAAATATCAAATACTCTCTCAGATAATTTTAATTTTACAACACACTACATTTGGTTTTCAAACAGGGGGAGGGGTTCGGACGCACTTGACCACACGCTCTCTCTCTCTCTCTCTCTCTCTCTCTCTCTCTCTCTCTCTCTCTCTCTCTCTCTAACACACACACACACACACACACACTTGGTTCATGTGCTTGAAATTCAACCACTAATTTGCAAAAGGAGATATTCAACAAGAACACTCTCTGAAAGCGTTATATCGTGTTGTTAATTACCAATTAATGAACATTAATATCTTAAGCTGATACCCAACATTTGACTTATGAATGATAATGTCTACACATCCGTGAAGATCCGGGATAGAATAGGTCTTCAGCAAATCATGCTTGCCGAAAAAGGCGAATCTGCTTGTCGTAAGAGGCGACTAACGGGATCGGGTGGTCAGACTCGCTGACTTGGTTGATGCATGTCATCGTCTCCCAATTACGTGGAGCGATGCTCATGACGTCAATCAATAGATTGTCTGGTCCAGACTCGATTTTTTACAGACTGCCGTCGAAGAGCTGGAATATTATTGAGTGTGGCGTTAAACAACAAACAAACAAATAAACTACCTCCAAAGCTAACACTCATTCGCATGTACAGTCTGTTTAATGCAACCTTTAGAACTCAAGATACATTTTGTCTCAGATGGTGTCAACAATTGTTTTAGTGACCTCACACTTGAATCGTAACGTGTAGGATGTATTGGTACATACGAGACCGAGTTTATTTTCAAAGTATAGTATTTACTCCCTCAGTGATCTGTCCCACACGCAGTCGTATGGTACGTGGGTGGTACGTGTTAACAGTAAAAGGGTATAGAGCCTAGCACTTAGATACATTACCAGGACATCCCCATAGCACATCATCACTCCAGAACAGCCCTTAATGCTACAACAGTGTGTGCAGGTCAGATTTAATGATGTTCTGGACATTCCCTGCCACAATTAAATTATATGTTGTCGCTAAGACTGTTTCATTCTCGCTCAGCGAAAGTGCTTAAATATGGCCGCTGTGAATTTACAATCCAATTCATTGTCACTCGCAGGACAATTTTTTGCGGCATTTCATTGTTTTCACAATGTTTCTGGTTGCAAGGCAAATGAATATATTAAATATGACACGTCGCTTATCAAGATGATGCACGATGCCATGGGCTGTACATATTTCACTTGCACTTTCTTAATGAAAGTTGTGCCAGTGACAGATGCTCACGGTAGAGCAAGACTTCATTTAGGCTGAATTCCCACTGCGACCAACTTCATGCGTTGCGTAACAGGTGATGTGAAATTGGTTTTAAAGTCGCGTTCAAGATTATGGCGAGTAATCGAGTCTGCATCAGACAATCCAGTGATTGACAACATGAGCATCGATCCATGCAATTGGGATCGATGGCATGCATCAACCAAGTCAGCGAGCCTGACCACCCGATCCCGTTAGTCGCCTCTCACGACAAGCACAGTCGCCTTTTACGGCAAGCATGGGTTGCTGAAGACCTATTCTACCCCGGAACTTCACGGGCTCTATCTATGTAGGTATATTTACGGTTCTGCATAATATAGATAGCTGGTAATTGTGATTGATTCCAATGATAATTACGCTGTGCATGTATTTTCCTCGTGCACACAGTCCTAATGTTATGCCATTCTTAATATATTATTTTATATATATGTTTTAAGACCAACATATTGTTGTTTCCGTATGGCTATTTTTTCATCGCTTATTTTCAGTAATCTATTCGTATAATTTTCATCATAATTGTGCCTCTTATGCCCAACGATACCTGTATCGGCGGATAATCGCGACGAATTATTGTTTGGCATCGACGTCTTGTATATGGTTTGTTTCCATGCGCATGCGTCGATTATTAAATTTATTGAAACATTTTTAAGTATCGTATTTTAGTTTAGTTTAGTTTCCTGGTATACGAAATATTTATGTGCCTGGGTTAAAGGAGCAGGAAATGTTATTTCACATGAATAGAAATATTTGTTACATTCTCATCAACTCCATCATGACAAAAAACTATATTAAGGATGCATCGATGTGTTGGTGCTATAACATGTGTATCGAGGTAACGATAAAAATTCATTTAAGCATATTTTTATTTTATTTTATGAATGTTAATTCGTTTTAGCGTTGAGTAAAGAGTTTACAACCGTCTTCCAGTTACGTTTGTACAATATTTCCGTGACAAGATAGACACAATTTTATGGATAACAACTTCTTTAATACTGTGAAAAGCGACGTTTCGGTATAGATCCTTATCCCGTTGTCAAGCAGGACTGAATAAGGGACATAGTACAGAATATATATAGTAGGTCGAGGATTATCGGGAGAGGATTAACAGTAACAGCAATTGCATACATGAGTGGGATAACATTGGTACGTGTTAGGGGAATGAACTTTCAGGCAGTAGTGTAGGTGTTGACAACAAAGGGAAAAAAATATTTCCGTGCTGATTTAGTTATTCCGTTTAATTTTAAACATCGCCCTTAAATCTCAAGTACCTATCTCTTTGTGTGCAGTAGGTTTATGATACGTAGCGTACTTTTACCGTGTGTACGTTTACGGGACGAGTAATGACGTTATTGATCAACGTATTTCCAGAGTGCATCTTGCAATAACACAAGGGTTTCCTACTCAAAGCCATCCGAGATGACAGTGCTGATTGAGCATCTAGTCCTTAAGAGAACGCCCTTGCCATAACACCCCAGTCGTTAGCTGCGGGCGGCGACAAACTCCACACTGCCCCGTCGTCACTGTCATTGATCGTCTCCTCCTCCACCACGTAGGACTCGCTACTACCAGACTACGACAGCACGGCGACAACACACGACTTTGAACCCTCATGTATGAGGTGGACTCGGCGCGGTGTAGCTGTGACGGGTGAGCTAGGGTGTGGAGGAATGTAGAGGGGTGCGGACAGACACGCCCTCAAGTAACTCGGTCCCGTGACAAACAAGATTCAACCGCCAAGGGGTGGAACTTTCTCACAGGTCGGTCGTTTTATTTCAAATAAATTTCAAATAAATAAGTTTTGCATGTAATTTTGATAGGAACAGTGTTCTAAGTTCTTTTTATGGACGTCTGAGTGAAGTAGAAAACTTCTCAGCTGGATGTCGCATTGTATCATTCTGATAACTATTTGTTTTGCAGTTGATTTTTCTGGTTGGTAGGTTTCTTACGACAAGCGCATGCATCATTGTGTTAATTTTAAAATTAGATGTTAGGGTTTGAAGCATCTTAAACAAGCGTGGGTGCAGCGTTTACGCAAAGGGAGTGGTACATGTTGTGATGTTGTTTCCACACAAGTGCTAAATGAATGCAAAGCATCCGCGAAGCAGTTTGTGTTGTGTTTAATATTGTTGAAACCATGTAAGCAAATAGTTCACTGTAGAGTTGTAAGATGTTCATCTTGTGTGTGTTCCACTGTTGATGGGGGGGGGGGGGGGGGGGGGGGGGTTGTGTTGTGTTTTTCCTGGGCATCTTTCTTGCCAGAAATTCCTATCCGTCGAAGATAGACGCGTGTCGTTACGTACATACCCAAACTACATTTTTTGGACATGCGAGTATGTCAGGATCTTATGAGACCAAGATGAGGTTCGTGTTTTGGTGTTAAACAATCAATGTCCCGAACCGACCTTAACAAAACTATATTGGTACGGCGATGGTTGTGTTGTTTGGATGCCCGTGCACACACAGTGTTCGACAACCGTGTATACATCTTGTAGCCTCCATTCATATGACCGTGAATACACTATGTATCCCACATTCATACCACCTTTAATGCATCATGTATCCTCCATTCACATCACTTTGAATACATTATATACCCCATATTCATACCACCACGAATACATCATGTATCCGACATTCATACCACCTTGAATACATCATGTATCTCGCATTCATACCATCTTGAATATATTATGTATCTCACATTCATACCACCATGAATACATTAACCTCCTCCATTCATTCCAAACATCTTGAATACATCATGCATCCCACAGTGATACCACCTTGAATACAGCATGCATCCCATATTCATGCATACCACCTTGAATGCATTATGTATCCCACATTCATACCACCTTGAATACATCATGCATCCCACATTCATGCATACCACCTTGAATACATTATGCATCCCACATTCATACCACCTTGAATACATCATGCATCCCACAGTCATGCATACCACCTTGAATACATTATGCATCCCACATTCATGCATACCAACTTGAATATATAATGTATCCCACATTCGTACCATCTTGAATACGTTATGTATCCCACATTCATGCATACCTGCTTGAATACATCATGCATCCCACATTCATGCCACCTTCAATTAAGAATTGACCTTCACTTTGTGTGAGTTCATTTGAGTATGAACCTTCAAAGAGTGAGGGCCAAACTGTATGAACGTCGGAGCTTGTATGAACTCACACAAAGTGAAAGTCAGTTCATATAAAAAAAAATTATCACAATTTCTTACCTCAAAGGATGCAGTCCAAGATCTAAACACAATTTTATTTAGTACGTGTGACTTCATGTTTACACTGACAGCCATACAACAACCAGCTATATCGCGGAGTAAAATAGTTCCTCAAAAAGAGAGGTGACATGGGCGTATGGATGCGCAACTTGCTCTTCGGAAACATCTTACGCAACACATGTGTTCAAATAATAACACCATTAGATGAGAAAGGTCTGTAAAGAACTACCTCAGTAAGTCAGTCACAAAGACAGCGCGTCGTAAATTTTAATACATTTACATCAAGTACAAGACGTCAAAATGGCCGACACGATAAACGTGACGGGAGGATTTCCGAAGTTGTTAATGAACCTGTGGCGGTTACATGTGTTAGTCATCATTGATCAACTGACCGATTATTGAAAGGTGATTAAAGATGCGTCAAACAGACACCAAGGTAAATTCGTAGATTGCTGGAGACTGTCAGCGTAGACACAGATCGACTCGATACTGACGATAGTTTGGATGTGCATTTTTTCGTTTGTTCATTAGGATGGGCCGTAGCGAGGAAATTCGTGAACAATCATGCTCTCTTACGTTTCTCAATGTATACTGAAATGCTGAGACCAAGATAAAAGTTTCTAAATTATCAGAAATAATGCTTATGTATGTTTTCGTGCTAGGGAAATCCCAGGAATGTGGAAGTAGTGTTTACGTCATTTCAAGAACACGGTCTCGTGAAAAACGTTTGAACGTCAAATTGTGTCCTTCATACACTTATGAACGTCAATTTCGCGGTCATTTGACCGACCTCTCGTCCAATGAAAAAGCCGTATATCGTGTAAACTTCAAATTAAAACATTATTACATCATGCATCCCACATGCATACCACCTTGAATACAGCATGCATCCCACATTCATACCACCTTGAACGTATTATGCATCCCACATTCATGCATACCGACTTGAATACATCATGCATCCCACATTCATACCACCTTGAATACATCATGCATCCCACATTCATACCACCTTGAATGCATTATGTATCCCACATTCATGCATACCACCTTGAATACATCATGCATCCCTCATTCATACCACCTTGAATACATCATGCATCCCACATTCATACCGCCTTGAATATATTATGTGTCCCACATTCATATAACCTTGAATACATTATGTATCCCACATTCATGCATACCACCTTGAATACATCATGCATCACACATTCATTCCACCTTGAATACACAATGCACACCACAATCGTACCACCTTGAATATATTATGTATCCCACATTCCTACCACCTTGAATACAGCATGCATCCCACATTCATACCACCTTAAATACATCATGCATCCCACATTCATACCGCCTTGAATATATTATGTGTCCCACATTCCTACCACCTTGAATACAGCATGCATCCCACATTCATACCACCTTAAATACATCATGCATCCCACATTCATACCACCTTTAGTACATTATGTATCCCTTTTCCTGTAAATGCCAAGTAGGATTCCACCCCAATAAGACCAAAACTATAACATTCAAAATTATACATTGGGGGTACTCTTATTAATTTAAGTCCAAAGTAATAAACATTTAGGAATTACACTTCAAAGTAATTGTTCATGGCAAATATAAATCAACAAAAATATCGGAAAAGTTATTTCAATGATCAACTGCTTAAGGAGTCTCAAGTACAGACGAACAAGAAATGACTTTGCGATAATGTACATGTTTTATCCAGCCTCACTTCGACTTTTGGGACAATTGTACAAACGACCAACAATTCGTACTCGAGAATTTACATTTGGAATTATTTGTGAGAATTGTTTGTGGGGCACTTCGTGGTACCAGTCATGGCAAAAAAAATGTAACGAAACAAATTTTCAATCTATAAAAGAAAGATGACACCGCTTCAAACTGATTAAATTTTACAAAATGAAAAACGTTATTTCACCTGAATACCTCAACGATCTCATTCGAAGTCTCTGATAACAACAATTATAACCATAGATCGAACTAAGAGACAATCAAATCACAAACCATTGCCAAATTGTCTTCCAGATACAATTAACATGGGGAATAATCTACCTGACGAAGCTACCAATGCTCGTTCACCAAAATAATTGAAATCCTTAATTAATCGTTCTGATATAATTACCAATAACTTAGACTTAAGATATGGCCCTGGATTATGCGAAATTGTGCATTGTGGCCTCAGACACGGCTGCGGTGACTTAAGCGCTGATAGGTTTAGTCGTCACGTATCAGACATACCACAAAGTACTTGTTGAGAGATCATTTTGAAGATGCAACATAATTTTTCTTTACCTGTCAAAAATACGACAATAACAGAAACACTATGTATTTTTACACATATGGGCATGACCTAAAAAAATATTACATGGCAAATGTTTCAGTCAGTAGTTCTACAAACATTGACATCCTTCAATCAATTTATGATTTATTTTCCAAAACAAAAGATTTGAGTAGCTTTAATTTTATTCATATAGGAAGTGAAACTGCAATATTATATTTCACAGACAACACCGATTTCAATATATTGGCTTCATGTATTTCATTTGTGCTCTTTGTAATCTATGTTTGGCACCGTCTTGTATATAACCAGCTATTAAGTTATTACCTGGAGAGGTACTTACATAAGCAAGTATTGCTTAAAAGTAGTGTGTGATCACATGAGTAGTGGTTTAAGCAGTTGGTGTGAGAACTGTCCAATACTGCTCAATACAATATTTAGTGTGTCCAACCGGTTCCTGACCCGTGAAGATCCGGGGTAGAATAGGTCTTCAGCAACCCATACTTGCCTTAAAGACGACTATGCTTGTCGTAAGAGGCGACAAGTGGGATCGGGTGGTCAGGCTCGCTTACTTGGTTGATCGATGCTCATGATATCAATCACTGGATTGTCTGGTCCAGACTCGATTATTTACAGACCGCCGTCATATAGCTGGACTATTGCTGAGTGCGGCGTAAACCAACCAACCTATTGCTGTGTCATTGCCTAAATTGGTCACTTCTTTATAATTGTAATTTTGGCAACCCACTCCTGCGTCATCTGAGCCTTGACTGAGATCACTCTTGAGCGTTTTAGGCCTAGGCCCAAAACACTCATCCCAGGTCCAGATCACTTGCCTTTAGGCTCAAATCAATTCCCTACATTTTTACAATATTCTACTTCTTCTGCTCAGTTTTTGACATACTGTTCTGACGCTTTCAGACGTTCATGTGACTTCTTCTTATCTTAGGTGATTGTCGACATACATTTTTTTAGTTGTAGTTGTGCATGAAAATTATGTGCATATATTATTTTTTAATTAACACTTGACATCAATCGCCCTTTACAGATCTGAAAGGATGTTTAATTTTACCCTGAAAATAGTCAGATCTCTCAAATAGTTACGTTAAAAGTCACTATGGAGCCACTTTAGGTTTTTCTAATAATAATAATCATATGATGTTTACGTCCATCTTCGGCGC